GTGTGTGTGTGTGTGTGTGTGTTACAGTGTGTGGTACTGTGTGTGTGTGTGCGTGTTACTGTGTGTGTGTGTGTGTGTGTTACAGTGTAATGTTACAAAGGAGGGAAGTTTATGTGAATTTAAATCTATATAATTATAGATTTCCCTGTGAGTTCTCTCAGGAGAAAACGAGAGAAAATGGAGTTTATGAGGAAGCGATGAGAAGCAAAATGAAGAGAAAATCATGTTAGGAGAGGGAAAACGAGGAGACAAAGAAGTGTGTGAGAGAGGAGATGTTACTGAGGGTAGGAGAGAGGTCTGCCGGGAATCGTTTGGGGTGAGAGAACATTTTCCTCTTCTCGGGAATCTGTGTGAAACCAAATTACTGTAGACAACAGAATTACAGACGCAAATATTCAGAGGGGAAAGAGACGAGGAATGAGCAATAGAGAAGCACAGAGACTGAAATGAAAACGATATTGTGAGTGTAAATCATTTTGTGATTTTGATTGTTTCTCCTGCTTTATATTCAGAGCATAGATGGGCAGAAAGACAGGAAAAAACAGCAGGAAGCCTGTCTTCCAACACAAAGGATGCTGTTCCCCTCTCAGTTAGCTGCAAGTTTTGTCCTGCAGTGGTTCTAACCGCTGTTACACTTGTGTACTTTTTAAATGGATAAGCAGCATTTGACTTATCAGGACAGATACATAAATATATTTTACTGCGTTTCATTAAGTACACTTGATGAAAGAAAGAAATATTCTGCATATTGAAACTCTATTATTTTTTTTTGGTGAAAAGTGCAGTGGATGCAGACATTCATAATCACTGTTTTTGTTTGTTTGGGTGACGTATAGCTTATATACTGTATATATATATATATACAGTATATATGTTCCTCATACTGTTACACATAATGTATTTGAAGCCAGTGTAATCCAAGAAAATCCTCCAACAAGGTTAGGGAAACATCATGGTTGGTCACTTGAACATAAACATTTTGGCGCACTTGCTAAAATGATTCTGTTGTTGTTCTCTGTTAACCTCCTTGCTAACATTTCGTCAGCCTAGCTGCTTTGGGTTGCCCAAATTACAAAATCACCTGACATAATTGGATTCACTTTTTGCCATGTCAGTGATACACATCATGATTTGAGTATATTTAAATTTTGAGTATTAAGTCTTCAGTATTTGGCGAAAAATGTATGTGAAAATATCTGATTTGTGTCACATGCAATATGGAGGGCATTAAGAACAGCCTTAGAATTGGTTCCAGCAAAAGAAAGAAAAAGGGGAGTCTCCTCCTCCGTCCTCTCTCAAGTGTGTTGTGAGCGTCGACAGAAAGATCAGGAGTCACTGGCAGGAAGACAGATGACGAGGTAGACAGACAAACAGGAAGAGGGTGGACAGGCAGAGCAAACAGACAGATGAGATATTAAACAGAAATGGAGGGGAACAGGATCGTTCTGTAATCTAATGATGATGATGACTGAGCCTGTGTTTGCGTGTGTGTGTAGACTCAAGCTCTAATTATCTGTCACACACTGAAATGGAATTTGATGTGTGCACGGCAAGACAGCTGTTATGTAACACAACCCCCTAGTGTATTAGTGTCATAAGGCCTGACAGTGGCCTGATAGATAGATAGAAGTAGAGTTAGATAGATAGATAGATAGATAGATAGATAGATAGATAGATAGATAGTAGAACAAACCCTCTCCATAATGATCAATTATAATGCTACTGTGGCTTCAGTGATGAACGTGATCTGTGTAGGATTATCTACATCAGTGCCCCCACAACAGTTTTCTATATGAACTTGCATGTTCTCACACACACTGAAACGCACAAACACACCCTCAAGCCTGACCTTCATCTCTCTCTGTCTCCCTGCAGTGAGCTCCAACCAGAGCCATGGGGAGTACCCAGACTGCCGGAGTGAGAGGGAGTCGGGAGGGGAGGCGTCTCTCCTGGTGTCTCCGCTGGTGGTGGCGGGGATCGTTATAGGTCTGGTCCTCTTCCTCTCCTGCATCACCATCATCGTTGGCAGCTTGCGCAAAGACAGTCGACTCCGAAACCCACACCTTCGAGCAAGCTACGGTCAGTCTATACGTTTGACTAACTGATCAACTAACTAATTCATTGGAAATTAAAGTGATTGACTAACAGGTAAAACAAGCAATTGGATGCATTTTCCCCTTAAGTTTCATTAAGGACTGTGGCAGTTACCATCTTCGTCATGGCAATCTGTGTAGTGATGGAGCACACCATTCGGCTGCATTATCCCTAAAAGGCTGTGCAGCATTAAGGCATCTTAGGTTGTAGGTGATTAAGATTTCAGGCCCATTTATTCAGGATACTTCTTACATGGGGGCTTCAAAAAACTGATGAAACACCCCTACACATTATTACTCATGTTGATCTAAGATTCACTACACCAACACTGTCATGCACGTAACTTGCTTCCAAAAGCTTTAGTAGGTTTTCAGTTTCCAAAGAGAAAGTCAATATTTCAAGGCACTAAGCAAATATTAAACAATAGTTGTTGCCAGGACTTCAAATAGATGGACAGAAAAAAGCAAATTACCTAATCCATTTAAGTGTCCAAATTCTTCTCTTATCTTATTGCTTCTTTGCATCGGTCATCATGGGACGCACCAACTTGAGTGCTGTTTAACAGGCTTTACTTGACCAATCACATTACATTCAAACAGGTTTTTTACTTCATGTCTATTCCTCTGCAGGTCTGGATGGTTTTTCCTACGGAGGTTCAGTAGGAGAACTAAGATCTACCTGCTTAGAAGACTTTCCTCCTGGTTTAGACTTTGATTCATACAGAGAGACCCTGTCACAGGTCAACAACCTGTACCCCGATTCACCGCCACGGTAAGTGCTTGTGTGAATCTCAGCTGATTATGTAACAGAATAATGGTGTCATTCACAATGAGATGGTCATTAAAGGGTCAGTGTGTATGATTAAGTGGAGAGGTGTTGCTTCACCCTCCCCTCCCAAAGACAGAGGAAAAACTGCAGACAAAAAGGATGACAAAGGCTCATATCTAGAGCCAGGGCTTGGTTTGTCCTTTCTGGGCTACTGTAGAAAAATCCAATTTCTATTTGCTTTCATGCTTGTCCTTGTATTAAGCTAAGTTAGCTGGCTATTGGAGGTAGCTTCATATTTAGTATGTAGATGTAAGAGTGATATCTATCTAATCTAAATTCACTATTTCCCAAAATGTAGAACAAAAAAGGGATAATTTCACATTCATCTGCTGAAAGAAGAAACTTTCTCTGTGCTCACTGAAAATCTGATTTGAAGGGATAGAGCCAAGTAGACCACTCCTTCTTTTGCCAATTAGGCTATGTCAAATGTCAAATATAAAATTTAACTGACCATTCAGCCCGTGTCCCCCACCTAGTTTGACCCTTAGTGGTAATTCATTTATTAGGGAGCACTGCTACCTTTGGCGCCCTTTGTGAGAGTGCAGGAATGAGTGTTTGTGCACCTTGTGTGTGTGTGTGTGTGTGTGTGTGTGTAAGAGAGAGAGAGAATGGGAGAAAGAAAGAGCTTGCTAAAGGCCAATGTCATGGTGTTTTTGATCTAAATGTCAACTGGTCTAATTGGCAACTTTAATAATTCACATACATCCCTCCCCTGCAGTGTGTGTGTGTGTGTGCTTCATTCATCTCCTTGCTCTGCCTTAGGAACATTCACTCACTTTACCCAAATGAATCGATCTAAGGTTGGATAGTATCTTATCTTTTCTATTTATTCATTAAAAGAGAGTTCATTACTGACTTAAACAATTGTATCTGACTTTCCAATGTCCCAGGTCACCAGCTCACACATTTAGAACTTAATGACTTTCAGCATCAATATTAAGGTTTATGGGGTGTTTTTCAGTTAGCTTTGCAAATTATAACAGAATTTTGAGAAAATCTGAAATAGAAAATGCATATGCACCATGGCTTATCTTGTGAACCACTTTCTTATATGTGTAACAGTAGTGGAAGAAAACTCAATTTTGCCGAATTACTTGAAAGTTGATTCAAATTTGCAGTACATTTGGATGGACATGCAAGTAGTTAGTCTATGCAGAAACTAACACGACTTGAAGAGATATTGATTATTTTTCCGTTGCAACCATGTTGTACACATATATCATTCTCTTTTAAGCCTCAGTGGGCACAGTGCTGGAAATGTTCCACATGGATCCAGATTCATGCTGATTCAATAGCACTGTCCATTCACATTCATCATGTTGAACCTGAGCCTGAAGGTCTGTTCTGGGGTTGTAATCTGGGGACTAAACCAAAGCTCCTGTCATGTTCTTGCTGCTATCTTGTAACACAGATAAAGTGCATTACCTGTAGGGGGATACACCTGGTCAGCAGCAGGGTTTATTTTTGCTGTGGTGTTTAAATGATGCTTGATGCTGCAGGGCCTTATGTGGGCCAAGAAAATGTTCCTGTGCACCATTACAGCTCCCACCAGACGTCTGGTGAATCCATTCATAATGTTGATGATGAATCCTGCTCCTCCTAATTAGCAGTACAGGGCAGAAACCATAACCACAATGTTTGTTTGAGAGAGAGTAACAGTAAATATCACAGCTTCAAAACGAAGAAAGAAAGGGAAAGAAAGGAGAGGAGAGGGGAGCTAGCTAGCTACGTCAGTGCTCTGGCAGAGAAGCAGAGTGTTCTGGACAGCTTGTGTGAGAGCCGGACTTTCTGGCCCGGACGATGGGACAGCAGCCAACACACACACATAAATGCACACAAACACACATACAAACAGACACACATACATACATAAAAATTGCACATTTTGTTTACCATAATGATGGCAAGTCGTGGTTTGGGACCCTATCAACAAGCAGGTAGTTGAGGTCCTGTGATGATCCTGCAGGGTGTGTGTGTGTGTATGTGTGTGTAGGTGTGTGTGTATGTGTGTGTGTGTGTGGGGGGGGGGGCCACAGATGG